CAGCGGAGATGGACGCGGAGGCCGTGAGTGACACGGGGCCGGGACACCCGGGCGCTGCCGCTGTCCCCTGCCCCTTCCCCGGGCACCTCCCGGCGCCAGCCCCGGGCTCCTGTCCCGGGAACCGCCCCAGCTCAGAGCCCGGGGTGAAATGTTCCTCGGGAGCCGCGGGTGTGTCAGCGCTCAATCCGCTCCCGGCCGCGTTCTGGGCTCAGCCATTGTGCCCTGCTCCGCTCCTGTGCTGCCTCCTGCCACAGCAGCCTGGCACCGGCACGGCTCTGGGCCTTTTGGATCCGCCTCACGAGTGTCCAGAGAGCTCTGAAACAGCTGATCTTTCTGAGAACGCTCTCCAAGGCTGCTCCCCGTGGCCCTGGGCCATAGACTTGTCACGCAAGGAATGTTCAGCCTGATTCCAGAATGGGTCAGGTGGGAAGGGAGCGCTGGAGGTGCAGGCCCTGCTCAGGCAGAGCCTCCTAGAGCAGGTTCCCCAGCATGGTGTGCAGTGTCTCCAGGGAAGGAGACACATCTGCCCTGGGACATTTAACAGTGCTGTGAAAGGAGGAGTGTCCCTTGAACGACACTTCATTTTGATGTAATTTTCCCCCTGGGCCCATGATGTGTTGCTGTTTTCCTCTTGCCAAGTTTTCCTTTGTGAAAATGCCTGTTGACAGTGCCTGTTACTGGGTGCTTTTAGTTTTCAGTCCTGAGGACACTACACCCATGTTCTAAGTGCCCCTGCAGCTGCCTGGCTGTCACCTGTGCTCAGCTGAACACACATTTGTGAAATGGGGACCTCAGTTATCAGCAGATTCTCAATTAAAAGTGCAGATAAAAAGTCAGAGATCAGACCCTTGACAGCCTAGGAGGATTTCCAATTTAATGAATTTCAAGAAGGGCACTGACTGGAGATATTAACTGTGTGCTGTGGGTTCTTGTAGACCATCCCCATCTGGCAGAACAAGCCCCATGGCTCAGCTCGCAGTGTGGTCAGGATGATCGGCTCCAACCTGCCCCTGAAGCCCTGTCCCAGGGCCACCTTCGAGGTGAGTGACAGCCTGGGGGTGGCAGGAGGAGCTGGGTCGTGACAGGGCACTGCCATCAGGTGCTGTTTTACCTCCAGACATCCTCAGAGTTGTAGCCACAAAACCTGCCCCAGTACAGTTAAAGAATTTATTTTTTTTTTTATTCTTTTTTTCTTGCATTCTGTTGTTGTAAAGTGATCACTAGCAACCTGAGGAAATCCCTGCTCAGGCAGTGTCTGAGCTGGAGGAGATGGAAGGGTGGAGTTGCTGCCCCAGGGCTTTGTTGTGTGACCTCCAAGGAGCCTGGTGTCCTCTGGGCCTGTTCCCAGGGATTGTCCCTGACGTCACCCCTGGAGCTCAGGGCTGGCACTCAGTGCCAGAGTGTTGCACGTGGCCTGGATCAGGTGTCCCCTCCTGCCTCAGACACACAGCAGGAAGGAGCAGGAGCTGACCCAGGGAAGCACAGCAGTTCCCAAACCCAAAGGATTTACCTGCCAGCTCAAAAAACACGAACAGCTGTGCAAACTATAGGAAACCTGCTGGAATTGCTGTTGTGCATGTGCCAGACACGGCTGCTGAGGACAGGGACTCTGACAGCCCATCTGGAGCAGCCCCAGGAGAGCAAACAGCATCTCCTTAGCAGTGTTTCCTTCTTGCCAGGTTCTGCCAAGTGTCTCAGATCTGTATTTGGGTGATGTGCCCCCCGTGCCCACCTTGGCCGACATCGTGTGGATCGCTGCGGACGATGAGGAGACCTACGCCAGGGTCAGGTGGGTTTCCACCCCCTGCTTTCTGGCACAGAGCTCAGGCCAGACACTGCTCAGACAACCACAACCTCCAGTCCCCTCAGGGTCTGAGGGGGTGCCTCTTGAAAGATGTTTTTCCTAAAAAGAGGGGAAAAAAAATGTCAGAGTACCTGTAGAGGAATTCCTGTAGGAAGTGCCAGGAGCCTGTGCCATGTCCTGTTTCACTCACTGGTTGGTGCAGAGAAACCCCTGCTCCAGAGTGTTTTCTGGGCAGGAATTGGAAGGGTTGAGTTCTCCCAGGACTGAAATGCCTTCTCCAGCCTGGCCTTGGACACTTCCAGGGATCCAGGAGCAGCTGCAGTTTCCTGTGCTGCAGAGAGCACATCTGCCCCTCTGGTGGGACACAGAGGCTTCATTTGTGCTGTTGGAGGCTCTGCTGCCCTCAGGGGAGGCCAGGCTTTGTCATGGAGAGGTTTGGACTTGGTGACTGAAGGGTTTTTGTCCCCAGAAGTGACACTCGCCCGCTGAAGCACAAGTGGAAGCCCAGTCCCTTCACAGTGATCCAGAGAAACGCCTCAGTGCCCAACCTGAGGAAGCAGGAGGAGAAGCTGCTGGCCCTGAAAAAGCCTGGTTTGCCAGCCCTGAGCAGGACCACAGAGCTGCAGGATGAGCTGAGTCACCTCCGGAGCCAGATCGCAAAGATCGTGGCTGCAGAGTCAGGTAGGATGGTGATTTCTGCTGGGGGCTGAGCTCTGCTGTTCCTTCCAGGCTCACTCAGGGCTGTTTCCCAGCAGCTCCCTTGGTGGGATGTTGGCTCTGGGGGCAGCTCAGGGGCCGTGTTCAGGTTTATATTCCGTTGTGTTGGGGAAAAGCCGCCCCACGAGGTTTGCTGTAAGTTCACCCATCCACCTCTTGTTTCCTCTCCCAGCCTCTGCCCAGCTGACACCAGACCTGTTATCTCCAGGGAGCTCAAATGCCTCTTCTCCTGTACATTGTTTTGGACCCTCTTTCCAGTCCACCACGTCCTTTGTGATCAGTGACATCACGGAGGAGGAGGCAGAGCTGGAGAGCCCCGAGCTGCCCTCGGTGGCCGAGCTGCCCTCGGTGGCCGAGCTCTGCTCCGCCTCCGAGAGCTGCAGGCCAGAGCCCAAGGACCCCGACGAGGAGGACTCTGTGTCCCTCTCCAAGGCCAGCAGCTTTGCTGACATGATGGGAATTCTCAAAGACATCCATAGGATGAAGCAGAGCAAAGATTTGTAAGTGCTTCCTGAACTTCTCTTTTTGTTTTGTGTCAAATCCTGGACACGGCGCTGGCTGCTGCTGTGTGGCCTTCGTTCCTGGGGGAAATGCCTGCTCAGAGCAGAACTTGGTAACCCATTCCTGGGGTTTTTGCCTTTCTGGGATAGGAAATAATGGAGAACTTTCATAGGGGAAATATCTCTTTGGAGCAGAACTTGGTCACACATTCCTGGTTTGTTTTGGTTTTGTTTTTTCCTGGGTAGGAAATAGCGGAGGGGAATTTAAACTGCTTATCCCGAGGTTTGGCTGTTCCAGCTTGTTCACCTGACAAAAAGCTGTGTTTGCCCAGAGGCACAGCAGCCCTGTGTGTGTTGGCAGCTTTCAGAGAGAGGAAAGTGCTGTTCTTAGCCCACCTCACATTCCCAGGCACTTGGGAAGCTCAGCAGCTCTTCCAACGTGGAGCGTACAGGGATTTAACACGTGGAGCTTCTCAGCTTCTGTGCTTCTTCATCTGGCCCAGCTCTGAGCGTGGGCAGGGTGAGTTTGCACTTGTCTCATGAGGAATTGACAAGTTCTGATCATGAGAACTCCTGAAACTGCTCCATGGACAAGATCCTGCCCAGCTGAGAAAGTTCCTTCTCTGGTTCTGGCTGTGCCACCTGCCTTCCACACGCTCAGATCTCAGTGCTGGAGCTCAGTCTCCATGTTTTTCGTTCTGTTGTGTGAGATTCCTGGCCAAAAATACCACACTGGGTGGTGGCTGTGCACAATTGCTGCTTCCTAATTTGGTTTGAAAGGAATCAGATTGTCAGCACTGAAAAAATTCAAGTCAGATGAGAGGAGCACGCTCAGCTTGCACACCCAGAGCATCAGGGGGTGGCACACCTCCACCCCTCACAAAATTCACCCCTTTGCTGTGGTTTTTTCAGAGGGGAGCTGCCAGATCCTTCTTCCTGGGGTGCAGGGTGTGCAGAGGGAGCCCAGGACCCGTCCTTGGCTGATTATCCAGAGCTGGGCCCTGCTCCTGCAGGGAATGCTGCCACACCAAGGCTGTAGCTGAACCATTTTCTCCCTCATCAGCTTCTCTGCCTCAGCCTCTCCTGCACTCAGCAATGATGGCTCGAGGTTATTACAGCTCAATTAAAGCTATCTGAAGAGTTGCAGGTAGCTGAAAAATTAAGTTAATTACAGATGTTCATTATTTGATGAGCTTTAATTCCTAATTCTGAGCAGCCCCTGTGCTCCCCCAGCTGTACTGGGCAGCACTGGGAGGCCTGAAGAGGGTCAGGTGCTCTTCAAGTGGAGGAAGAAAGGTGCTTCAAGATGCAAAAGATGCTTGGAAAGATAATTACATCAATGTTTCTCTACTGCTGCTGTGTGGGACTCAGTGTTTAAACTCAGCCTTGGTGTTTAAACTCAGCTTTAGAAGCTTCAGGAACGAGTGAGGAACTTGCAGAAATGTCCCTGTTTCAGCAAATATGAACTAAAGCCTGTTCCAGTGTCTGGTGGAAATATTCCAGTGATTTTTGGTGGGTTTTTTTTCTTTTAGGAATGTTTAAAGCTCCCATAATGTTTTCTGAGTGAGGGAGGGCTTCAGCTATGAAAGAAATAAAGTTCTGAGGTTATTATTACAAGTTATAAACAAAACCATGGTACCTGAGGGAAAAAACTGAGGTTTGGCCTCCTGTAAAAATAATCTTCTAAAAGGAGCTGCTTGTGTGAACTTGTTGAGGGAGGCAGATTGCCCTGAGAACAGGAGAACTCGTGTAGTGCAAGGAAATCTGCACTTTAAAATGCCTGGAATGTCCCAGATTGGAATAAGGAAGCAGAAATCCATTGTGCAACAAAATTAATGAAAAAAAAAATCCCAGACACTTCCAGGACTTTCCCCCAAACACCTCACTGAGGGTTGATTTACATGGAGGTGATGTAGGCTGTGAGTAATTAATGAAGTTTTGGGTTGATTGCTTGGTATCAGCACAGTGGAATAAGAATTACCCAGAGCTTTGAGGATGAGATTTCCAGGACCCCCCTGGAGCCACAAAACGAGCTCCAGGTGAGTTCCTGCTTTTCCAGCCCGACACCAAAGGGCTGAATTTTCCCTGTTTTTGTTGTTTTGTGGTGTTTTCCTTGCACCTCCTACACTTGTGACAGCATCTCAAGATAAAAGCTGCAGGAGAGCACTGGAGAAACTCTGTTAATCAGGAATTCTGGCTCCTGTCTGGGCTGATACCCAGTGCTTTTATCCCCCTGCAGGAACCGCCCTTCCATGAAGGAGGAGGACCCGGCCGTGCTCATCGCCGAGGTCCTGAGGAGGAAATTTGCCCTGAAGGATGAAGACCTGGCCCTGAAGGAGAAGTGATGCTGCTGTCACTCAGCTCTGTAAGCAAAAGCATTTATGCTCCCAAAATCTCCTCCACAGTAGCTGCCTTCTCCTAAGGATCGAGCCTTTTGCCTCTTTTATTCACCAGACGTGGTTTGTGCACCAGACACTCGGCTGGGAGAGACCCTTTGGATTTGATGTGTTTTTCCATGTGTTGTTCTATTTAAGAAAAACCTTTTTAAGAAGATGGAAGCTTTTTTTTTTTTTTTCTTTTTTCCCAGCTGTGTTTTGCTGTTGGTGACTGGTGAGGATCTCCTGGAGATGAAGCTCTTTCTACCTTGCACTTTTCCTTAGGTTCCAGTTAAGCATTAAGCTGTGAGGATAGAAGCAGTTCCCATGTCCAGTGTGAGCAGGACAAACCTCCAGTCCTTCACCCTGAGTATGGCACAGAGCTGCTGAGAACGAATTCATGAGTGTTTCCATCTCTCCAGGGCTTTTGGATCATGATGGGAAAAGGTGTTTCTTTTCCCAAAACCCCCCTGGCTCGTGTCTGAGGGATTTTGTGTGCCCTGGGTGTTTCTTCTCTCACAGATCAGCCCACAGTTGCATGACAGAACGGCCTTAATTTCTTGCCAGTAATTCAATGTTCCATTACCAGTCCCTGTATCCCCAGTTTGTGTTTCATTTCGCCTTCCAAAGGTCTTATTTATTGACCTTGCACCAGTGCAAAGGGCCCAGCACCCCAAGCAGAGCAGGGAAGGAGCTTGGCCTTGGCTGTGGCTGCAGTTTCCCCCTCACTCAGAGTTCTCCCCCAGCTCCACGTTCCCTCATGGCTGTATTTAAAGTATGTTTTTTTTTCCCTTTCTATAAAATGGAGCCTTAATAAGATACTGATTGTTGTGGGGTTATTGCTGCGCCCAGGGTGGGGTGGGGCAGGATGGGAGGGGCGGAATCCCAGATATTCAGGTGCCAGGGGCTTCTTAATCCATCTGGACTTCCTTGAAAAAATTAAATCATCATCCTCATCTTCAAAACAAGAGAGACTTTTGTGGCAGAGAGAGGGGAGATGTAGGAATTAGCAGTTTTAAAGAAGCTGCTCCCCTCCTGGATGATGTGATCACTGTCCCTGTCCCCACAAGGCTCCTCTGCAGGAGGATTTTTGGTGGAATTTTGGGCCTGCCTGTGGAGATGGAGCTGTCAGCAGAGTCCCTGCTCTGGGAATGTGCTCCCTGAGCAGGCTGGGCAGGACAGTGACACAGACTGGGATCCTTACTGAAACATCCAAGCCCTTAGAACCAAACTCCAACCTTTTATTTGGATTAAAGCAAGATCTCGGAGAACACAGAGGTGCTGGGGGCTCTCAGCAGTGCTTGATGACCCTGTTCCCCTGCGAGTCCTGTGTGAACAGGGACTGCAGCCCCCAGGGCTGGCTGGGGCTGGGGCTGGCCCCCAGTGAGCTGCCCCTGGCCCTGTGAGCAATGACACTGTTCCCTTGGGAGTCCTGGCAGAAGAGCTGCCCACAGGAGCCCTCTGGGGTCTGGCCCCGCTCCCTGAGGGGCTGAGGAGAGCAGCAAACCCCACTGGGAGCAGCCCCAGGGACAGGATTCGTGTTCTCAGTCCCAGAAAAACCCGGCCCAGAAGTAATTCTGCTCCAGGACTGTGGTTTCCTGCTCCCTGAGGCCGTTTCTCCAGGAAATAACCGGGATTTGTTCCTGTGAGCGCCGATCCCGCTGTGTTCCGAGCCCTGGGAGAGGCTGCAGCACCAGGAATCCCCCCCAGCCCCACCGGAGGCTTTGCTCTGGCTCTGAGACTCCACCTGAAGCTCCAGGGTATCCAGGGGTGTTTTCCATGCCTGGGATGTGCCCTGCACCCCCTGCTCGGCTCCAGGGAGCTCTTCCAGGGCTCCCTCCAGCTGTGGCAAGGCCAGGATCTTCACAGGACAGGCAGCCAGGGGAGCCCCCGAGCGCTCACAGCCTTCATTTGGGGTGCAGGGGGTCGGCCGGGAGTTTTCTTTGTCTCTTCCATCTGCAAACAGCAGGGAACTGGTGAGAGCAGCCCCATCTTCCCCCAGAGCAGCACAGCTGTCCCCTGTGTGTTCCCTGTGTGTCCCCAAGGCCAGCACTGCCACCACCCCCAGGGTGCCCAGCCCATCCCAGAACAGCACCCGGAGCTCTGGGCTGCTCCACATCATCCCCTGCACCTTCAGCTGCTCAAAGTTACCAAAAACCCCTCAGAACTGCCCGGTGAACCCGCCCTGGCCCCACAGAGGCACCGGGACCCACACCGGCCTCTGAAACCATTTAATGTAAACCCAACTTCCCGGTCCCGCCCGGCTCCTCCTTCCTGGCACTTCAAACCTTCCCCCTCCGCGCCCGAAAATGAATTTTGCTGTGTTTGCAGCGGGTTTGCAGCGCCTGGAGCCGGTTCCGCGGGCCCGGTACCTGTGAGGGGGCTGAAGAAGGCGGGGATGGTGCTCTGCCTCCTGCCGGGCCCGGGGCTGGCTGCTTTCAGCCTGGCGCTGAGGGGCTGCGGGAAGAAACGCGTGAGAAATGACAGAATAACAACAAAGCCAAGCCGAACTCTCTCCTCCAGCGCCGCGGCACCCCCGGCCCGCCTGAGGGGCCCCGCGGCT